ATAAAGAAAAAACTGTACAAAACAAGTTCTATAGGACTATTTCAGGATTTCTAAAATGACAGAAATGACAGGATTTTTAAAATAACATAACTACTATCTGTTTACATGCTTAAATTTATTTTATTTAAAAATTTTGATTACCCAGCAACTCAATAAGTAATTGTAATATGTAGAAGGTAATATGGTATGGTGTTATTTCTGTTTTATGGATTGGAAATAGATTAAAAAATGTTAAATTTATCTACAATCTCACAGTAACAAACCGGTGAATTTTGAACTAACTTTCAGATCCTTTTTTGTGAACTTAATTTTTACTAATGGCTTACTTTTCAAAGCACATTATCTGCATTTTACTTAAATTTCAGATTTCTAATATAGTGTCCATTCTTTGCCTCTTAAAGATGAATGTTTATTTAAATGGAAGACACTCCATGCTTTTTGAATGGTCTCTATGAAAAAGATTTTGGGGGACCATAATTCTTGAGGACACTGGTATAGTCTCTTAGTGGCTTTTGATTTCCTTCTCCATTCATTTAGCCAGGATTTATCAAGATCCTCAAATGTTTTAGTCTCAGGATGCCTTTATACTCTTAAAAATTATTGAGAACCCAAAAAGATTTTGTTTTTATCAGTCCTCTAAATGTTGTTATTTACCATATTAGAAATTAAAACCAAGATATTTTTAAAGTAACTCATTTTTTAAATAACAAAAAGAATTAAATATTAATATTTTTATGAAAATAACTTCTGAAAACAAAAATTTAGTGGCAGCAATGGTGTGTTATTTTTGTTTCAAATCTATTTCACAGCTGTCTGAATAAAAGATAGCTGTATTCTCATACCTGCTTTTGCATTCAAGCTATTGCAGTATTCAGGTGTAACCTCTAGAAACTCTACTGTACTCATGAGAGGAGGAGAGTGAAGAAGGCTTGGTATTGTTATTAAAATAGTTTTGAACTCATGGACCCCCAAAGAGTCTCAGGGTTCCTGTACCATATTTTGAGAATCACTGCTGTAGATAGCAGACACAAAACCCATTGCCATCAAGTCTATTCTGACTCATAGGGACACCATAGGACAGAGTAGAACTGCCCCACAGGGTTTCCAGGCTGTAAATCTTTAACAAAGTACATTGCCTCATCTTTCTCCCACGGATCATTTGGTGGGTTTGAATTGCCAGCCTTTTGGTTAGCAGCCAGTTGGCTTAACCACTGTGCCACCAGAGCTTCTTGATAGTAGATATGGTTGTTGTTGGTTGTTGTTGCTTGTTGTCTGCCGTTGAGTCAGCCCCAACTCATGGCGACCCCTCCTTGGGTTTCCGAGGCAGTATCACTATGGAAGTAGATTGCCCAACCTTTCTTCCGAGGAGTGCCTGGTGGGTTTGAACCATCAGCCTTCTGGTTAACAGTCAAGTGCCTTAGGCACTATGCTACCAGAGCTCACGATAGTAGATAATAGAGGGAAAGTCTAATGTATGGCCTGGAACTTAGGAGATTCAGGATTAAAGAAACAAAGGAAACAGTTGGTTTATAAAGCAGTAATACATTCCACAAATTTTTATTAAAACTGATCAAGATCAGAAAAACTGGGTAAGATAATTGAAAATTCTGGTAAGTTCATTTAAGGATACAAAGAAGAGACACCGAATGGGAGAAGATAGGAGTTACCTACATTGGACAGGAGGACCAAGGAGGCCTCTCTGAAGAAGTGACATTTAATCTAAAACCCAATGAGAAGGCAGCCATATAAACAGGAGGAGCTTATCCTTTGGATGAGAATATAATTTAGAGTTGCCTTATTATTAGGAGCTCGATAGCATAGTTCCCAAGGCATTTGACTACTAACCAGTGGAGGTTCAAACCCACCAGCCACTCCTCAAAAGGAAGGTTGGGTAATCTACTTCCATAGTAATACTGCCTTGGAGACCTAAGGAGGAGTCACTTTTGAGTCAGCTCTGACTCCATGGCAGTGGCTGCATTGCGTTTGTGTTAAGTTACTGTTTATTATCTGCTCCCCCAACTAGAAAATAAGCTCCACGAGGACAGGGTCTTTGTCCTGTCCACCGTTATATTCCCAGGACCATGTGTAATGCCTGGCACACAGAAGATGCATGGTATAAGATTTCTGAATGAAAGTTCTAGAAGAATAGTTAGCAAGGGGGAAGAGATGCATAGGTAAGATTAGAGAGGAAGAGTTCTAGTCACAGAAGGCTGTGTGTACCTCAAAAGTTTATATTTTATTGGAGGTTGCATTGCATTGCAAGGTATTTTAAGCAGGAAAAGGGCATGTCTCGCTTCACTAAATTTAAGATCAAAGACTAAATTTTAAGATCACTTTTTCAGCGGGATGGAAAGTGGATTGGAGGGAGGTGTGAGTTAAAGTGAGGAGACCATATAGGAGGCTTTTGCAGGATTCCAGCTGAGAAATAATGGCCTGGACTAAGGTAATGGCAATGGAGATGGAGAAAAGGTGATAGAATCAGGTATATTTTAAAGATTATTGACATAGCTTACTAATGATGTTAATTTGGAGAATAAGAAAGTATATCAAGATAACACCTGGATTTTCTGTATAGACATCAAAGTAGATGGTGCCAGTGTATTGAGATGAGAAAGCTTTGTGGGACATGAGATAGAGGGGACCAGATCTGGAGGCAAAAATCAAGGGTACTTTTATGAGTATGTTCAATTTGAGATGTTTCTGTAACACATTTGTGGATATGTCGACTAGGCACTTTGGATATTCAAGTCTGCAATTCAGGACAGAGGTCAGGGCTGGAGACAAAAAGTTGGGAATTTTAAGCATTAAGTTGATATTCTAATCCATGGGAATTGAGGCAGTCATATAGGGAGTATAAGCTCTGAAGAACCCCAAATTTAGGTTGGATAGAAGAAAATGAACCAAGAAAGGGGGTGAAAAGTGGCCAACAATGAAGAAGGAAAGCTAAGAAATTGAGCAATAATGGATGTTCAAGGGCTGTTCTGAGAACATACAGAAGAACAATCAGCACTTGGAGGAGGAGGCAGGGAGAAGCCTTGGGAAAGAGAGAAGGCTCTATCCAAGTCTTAAAGGATCTGTAAGAGTAATCCTAACAAAGATGGGGAAAAGTTAGGAACATTCTAGACACAGGGAACAGAATTGACCAACCACCTGGGGAGAAGAAGCAGGGATATTTGAGGAAGTTAAGAATTGGGAGTAAATGATAAGCAATGAGGTTTGAAAATGGACAAGTACCATATCACAACCAGCCTTCAATGTGATAGGATTGGATAGGGCTATTGGTTCCCTGTTAACAAGGTAATAAGATACTTATTGAAAATGGTCAAATATGTAAAAATGAGAAGTCAAAAATAAATCACTGGCAAAAATGTCATATTTCCTATAGTTATTTTCCTATAGTTTTTCTTATTGTTAGGTGCTTTTGAGTCAAATTCTATTCACAGCAACCCTAGAATGAAACACTGCCCAGTCCTGGGCCAGCCTCACAATCCTTGCTATACTTGAACCCGTTGTTGCAGCCACTGTGTCAATCTATCTCATTAATGGCCTTCCCCTTTTTCTCTGACCCTGAAGACTTTGCTAAGGATGATATCCTTGTCAAGAAATGGTCCCTTCTGACAACATGACCAATGTAGGTGAGACGAAGTCTGGCCATTCTCTTTTCCAAGGAGCCATTCCAGCTGCACTTCTTCCAGGACAGATTTTTAGTTCTTCTGGTAGACTGTGGTATTTTAAATAGTCTTCGCCAGTACCACAACCCAAAAGCATTAACTTCCTTATTCATTGTCCAGCTTTCACGTGCATATGAGCCTATTGAAAATAGGGAGTTTTCATATTTAACTTATCAAATGCTTCCCTATAATACTGATAATCTTCATAACCATCTTTTTAGAAAATTAGATAGTATTTCATGACTGAATCAAATTAACCATACCGTTAATATTCAACATTTATTTCCAGTATTTCAAATTTGTACATGATGCTTTAAAGTACTTACATAAATTTTTAAAAAATCATTGATGGATGTCAAACTGCTTTCTACAAAAGATTTTCGCAATTTATCTTCTTTTTGCTTCATATTGTTTTGAACAATTACCATGGATTTGGTGTGAAAAATCAATGGGGCCGGGGTGGAAAAAGAAGAGTGGAAACCAATTATGAGGGTTCAGGATTTGTCCCGTTTGCAGCGTTTTGGGAGTCATGTAGCTTTGCTACTAAAATGGACTCGGCTTTCTTGAGACCATCAGCATCAGATGTAACTTGTACATACAGCTTGTCAGAAACAGAGCATCTTTGGCCAGTGCCAGAACTACCAAATCAGAATCTGCATTTTAACAAGCTTCCTCGGATGATTCATATGTACATTGAAGTTTGAAAAGCACTGATCTACACCAGCGGTCTCAAACTGCTTACACATTAGAATCACCTGGGCGGTTAAGAAAATTCCAGTGCTCAAGCCCAAACCCATACCATTAAATCAGAATCTCTCAGAGTGGGACAAAGACGTCAGCATCCAAAAAAAAACAGAACACTTCTCCACGCAATTCCAAAGGGCAGCCTATTTTGAGAATCTGAGATCTAAGGGAGTAGAGTGTTAGAAAACAACAATGGTTAGGCTTAGGTGGTTCAGGAACGGGAACGGGAAGGAAACTTTTCACCATATATCCCCATTTTACGTTTTGAATTGTGTACAATGCACATATGTTGCCTATTTAAAATAATTTTAGAAGCTGGGGAAGGCCTCGGTTGCGTACTCCTGAATTAAAGCATGTAACAAGCCAGTCGAAGGACAAGTGGACAATAGTCCAGTATATTCTCCCACTACTGCAACACCACTGCACGCCCTCCATCCTTCCTTGGCTCTGCCGACCTCCCCCTCCGCGGGCCTGTCGAGGCACTCCGCGCTCCCTGACTGCAACGTGGGGCGCAGGCGCGCTCGCCGCTGCAGCCGGGAATTGGCCTTTGGTGACGTCAGGACGCTTCGCGGGTTCCAGACCCCCAGCCCCGGCTCCCGAATCCCGCGCGGAGCGGAGGAGGGGCGGGGCGTCGGCCCCAGCTGAGCTATCCTGTCCGACCGCGCCAGTTTGAATGAAAGCTCTACAAGATGGCGGCGGCCGGGCCCGAGGCGCGAGGAGGTGAGGGCAGCAGAGCGACACCCCCTCGCTATTCCTTATTCTCTAAACTGCGCGAGGCCGGGAAGCGGGACCGAGAGCGCGGGCCAACCTAGAGGGCGAAATGAAGGAGAAACGCCTACTCCCGTCTGGCTGACACCCTGACCCCCAAACTAAGCGAAGCGGGCTCTTACCTCTGGCCACTGACCCTTCTCCCGGCTCAGCCCGCTTCATCCTCCTCAGTCTCCTTTCTGCACACTCTTCCTGACTCTGCTTTTCTGCGCCCTGCACAGGCAGGACACCGGGAGCGGGGCGCCCACCCCACAGGCTGCTGCGCGGCGTCGAAGGTCGGCGCCTCCGCGCGAGCCCTAGAGACTTCGCCGTTATTGAGTGTCGTCTTTCTCACCCCTTGGGGTTCTGAGGACTCAGCAGGGCAGCCAGTTTAGCACTGAGTCTCCCTCCCCGCCTTCTCGCGGTGTAAAGGCCTTTGCCCGGCCGCGGAGGCGGGGAGACTCGGGCAGCTGCGACAGGGGCTTCCCCGGAGGTGGTGTGCCCAGGAGTAATCCCCTGAGAGCGTTGAGGTTCTTGTGTACGGGGTTGTGGTTTGGCGTCTTTGTGGTGGTTTGGGCGGGACATTTTGTGTTCTATTTGCTTTTTAAACTGGGAAGCGGGAAATATCCGGTGGTGTAAATTTGATCTTGCTCTCGGGGGAAAAAAAGTAGTTGGGGCTAAAGTATGAACGATAAGAAAGGAAATAAAAGAGGACACATCCCAATTCGGACACACTGGGCGGTTAAACTCCTCATTGGAAAATATCCAGTAAGTGGACATTTGGGAATGTAGTCTCTGCTTTACAGTAATTTTTATATCCACCATGAACATGCGTATTTATGTGGATGCCAAAGAATTAGATACTGAAGGAGGGTGTGTGTGTTCGAGCGCGCGCTTTGAAAGTCTGGAACTTTAAACGCATTCTAGAATTTAAAGGTGGTTTCAGGCACTGCTCCTCTCCATATAGACTAAAAGCGTATTAACTCTGGATTGTTCTTCTATTATGAATGGCAAGCGTAAGTGTGAACTAGTTTAAGGTTTTTGTAGTGGTAATGAAATGTTTAATCTTGTAAATGAAGTCTTTTTCTATATTGTTATACAGTGTGGGAATTTTTGCCTTTTTACCAAATATTTACAGTTTTTATATTCAGATTTTTTTTTCTTTAATTCTCAAAAATAGGATTTCCATCGATGATTTTGTCTTGAATCCTTTTGTTACTTAAACTAAATGAAAATTGTCACAGACAAGCACACCTTGGGTAGATTCCAGAGGGGTACCTCCCTCCTATGTGATCAGCATAATGAGGTTAACTTTACACAAAAGATCCTGAAGTTTTTTAGATAGAAGGGATTTAAGGCATAGTTTCTGTTTTACTACTCTTCCGAAACCCCCAACCAATCAATCCAAAGCAGAAAACCTTCCCTCAAATCTTTTTTGGGGAAGTACATTTCATTTTCTTGATGTAGAGTTATGAGTTGTTTGCTGGAATTTGGTGGAAATAGTGCTTAAGGATTTCTGACAATGAAGTCCCTGTGTGAGTTGGAGAGGATAAAGAAAGGATGTAGTAAAGTCATAGCTGTTTTCCCTCTTCCTCGGAAATTACCTCAAAACACAAAAAGTTATCACAACTACCTTGGAGAGCCACCAAGTAAAGCTTTAGCTTATTAACTTTAGGTTATACAAAATTACTCCAGTCCTCACATTTTTCAGTGAATCTAAGAAATGCATCTGTGAACCCAGAGAGATGAAGACCTCACTAAAGTCTCGGTGGCAGAGCAAGGACCAGGGCAGAGGATGGATCCTCTCTAGTCCTTACCATAGCACTAGACAAAAAAACAAGTTTATTGCATATTTCTAAACACCAGTTTTGTGTAACTTATATTTTAAATGCAGTATGATAGTATACTGTTTACAGAAATTTTAGAGTAAAATGTGCTGCAACTCAATCAGTTCTGGCTTCTGTAAGGTTGATTATATGTATGTCTGGTTTTCTTCAAATTTGGGATATGGATTATGTAAATTGAATACTCTGTATTTTCTAACTCTTGGTTTAGGAACAATGCAGAAACATACCAAAGTATCAAAATGAGTATTGGAAAAATATTATAGTTTATATTTTTATTATAGTTCTTTGGTTAATTCACCTTGATGGTAATACATTGCAGCATGCCCAAAACAATAAGTGGAGTTAAAATTCGTTCAGCATTCCAGAGTGGGAAAAATAGGACATGTGGTATATATGTTTTCTAACTATATAACTGTATTTGAATTAGATTGCAGTTCTTATTATCCAGTTAAGAGAAAGGAAAAAAAGTTACTTTTTAAATAAATTATATAAATAAGATTGTGTTTTAAAATATATTTTAGATATATTTCTAAGACTAATAAATATTGCCCTAGGCAAACTAAGATCTAAGTTTAATTAAACTGATAAAGCAGTTATATTCTATGTAGAACATAATGGACAAGAATGATGTCCTGGAGATCTAGTTTCATTAAAACAGCAGTTACAGTCTTTGTGGTATGTAATTGAAAGGTTAAAAACATGACCTCTGGTGATCTTTGCATCTATATGTAATTTTAAGAAAGCTTACAAATAGGAAACATTTTGTTCAAGTGGCTTCGTAAAAATCTTATTAACCTCAGTTAAACCTAACAGGATAGAGGCCCATGAGAAAATTCAGAACAGTTACCAAAATAGTTTTTTAATGCTAAACTTGAAGACACATAATTGGTTTCTTGTCATATGAATTTTTAGTCCTGTAAAATTGCCAGCTGAAGGGTGGGAATATAGAGGTTTTAAGTTTTTATTTCTTTTTTTTTTTTGTTTTTGTTTTTGTTTTAATTGAGTAGCTATTTCATTAGTAAAGAATTCTATTTTCTTATTGTAGCTTGGTGTGTGCCTTGCCTAGTTTCACTTGATACTCTTCAGGAATTATGTAGAAAAGAAAAGCTCACATGTAAATCGATTGGAATCACCAAAAGGAATCTAAACAATTATGAGGTGGAATACTTGTGTGACTACAAGGTAGTAAAGGTAAGGCAAATATCTAGCCCCTTAAAAGAGATCTACTTAGACTTCAATTCAGTATTTTCATATTTTTGTAACATAAAAAGAACCTTAAAAACAAGCAAAACTTTTAATGTTTAAATCCTAAGCCATGATAAATTTATATATCCTATCATCTATATTGCCAAATAACACTGAGAGGATATTGAAGCATAAAATGTTCTTACATTAGAATATTTTAAGGTGCTTATCATTCTACATCCAACTCTTGATTATTTCTGTGTGGATTACCAGAGCAAATGTTTTTTCTCAGATTGACTTCTCCGGTCATTCATTTTGTTCTTAGATATTTCCCACTATCCCCTGAAGTGAATCTGGAAATTCAAACCAATTTTATAGTGTTACTAAATCTCCTCAAGAAGTATCACCAGTTGTATTTCCTGACATCATGTCAAACTCCAGATGGTAGTGAGGTTCTGTGGTATAATAGAATGGCCTGGAGTTCAAAGTAATTTCTAGCCTTGGTTTAATACAAGCATACCTGGTTGTATTGCGCTTCGCAGATACTGCGTTTTGTACAAATTGAAGGTTTGTGGCAACCCTGCATGGAGCAAATCTATTGGCACCATTTTTCCAACAGCATGTGCTTACTTCATGTCTCTGTGTGACATTTTGGTAATTCTCACAATATTTCAAACTTTTTCATAATGCTATTGCACACTTAATAGACTACCTAAGTATTATATCCACTGGGAAACCAAAAAATTCATTTGACTTGTTTTATTGTGTTATTTGATTATTGCGGTGGTTTGGAACTAAACCCGCAATATCTCCAAGGTATGCCTGTACCTTGTGACTTAAGCAAAGTCATTTAACTCCTCTGGGCCTCACTTTATTCCTTTAAAAATAACAAGGTTGTTCTTTAAGAACCTTTTTTGATCTAAAATTATATTTCATCTCTCCATAGCCTACTTCCCTCTCCAAGAACTCTGTTTTAGTCATTAATCTGTCAGCTCTTCCAGACAGATGGACCCCAGGAATCTTGTTTACTTCTTTATTTTCCTTCTCCTTCATCTTCCATATTGAATCAGTCATTGAATTCAGTTCTTGCTTTGAAATGCCCATCTGCCTTTGGCATCCTTGTGTGAGCATCTCACTATACTCTCAGCAAGCCTCAATTCCTGCAACAGCCCAATCATCTGCCATCTCAGTGTACAAGCTCTGGACTGATTAGTCTAGCTGAGAGTATCATAAAGTCATGCATATTAGCTCTATTAAAACTTGTAATTTCTATTTTCAGGCTACTTAATTCTAATTGACAAGCTGTGTAGTTATCTATTGTTTTCTTTTTCCATTCTTTGCAGATTTCTCCCAACATTTTTACTTTTCTGAATTCTTATTCTACCCCTGACTCATGACATCCCTGGTGGTGTAGTGATTAAGAACTCAGCTGCTAACCAGAAGTTTGGCAATTTTATCCATGGGATAAAGATGTGGCAGTCTCCTTCCCTAAAAAATTATAGCCTTGGAAACCCTCTGGGGCAGTTCTGTCCTATAATGTTACAATGAGTCAGACTCTGAAAATGGGTTCAATTTGGTTTGGATCTTCTCACATTCAGCTAAAGACTTCTACCTCATTGACCAATAGCATCCTTCAAGTATTATCTCTCAACTTTCCCTCCAGTTATCTGTATCTTCATTCATTTTTACTTGCAAAGATATTACCATTTTTCTTTTTTTTCTCCTATGCATCTTCTGTAGGTCTTGCTTAATCATTGTTGTCCTTTTTTCTAGCAAGCTCTTATTTTTCACTAATTTATCTCATTAATAAACATTAATAAATTCAGATCTTCCCTGATTTACCTGAATTGATAAACATATTCAGATCTTCGCTAATCTTCAGAAATCTTCCTTTGACCTTACTTTCTTGCTCAAGCAACTATTTCCTTCTACTTCACTTCCCATTAACTTTTTAAACAGATATTTTTCAGATGTAATTTACCATGTCATTCACTGATTTAAAGCGTACAATTCAAAGCTTTTAGTGTAACTATTACTACAATTAATTTAAGAACATTTTAATTCCAAAAAGAAACCCCACAACCCCTGTTTCCCCCAGCTCTAGGAACCACTAATGTATTTGCTGTCTCTATAGATTTACCAAGGAGCTGTGGTAGTTCAGTGCCTTATGCATTTGACTGCTAACCAGAAGTTTCACGGTTCGAACTCACCAGTTGCTCGGCAGAAGGAAGACAGTGCCATCTACTTCCATATTTACCGCCTTGGAAACCCACTGGGGGTTGCTATGAGTCGGAATCGACTTGATGGCAGTGGGTTTGGATTTTGGTTTATAGATTTACCTAATCTGGACATTCCTTTGTGACTGACTTCTTTCACTTAGCATAAGGATTTCAAGACTCATCCATGTTGTAGCATGTATCAGCACTTCATCTCCTTTTATTACCAAATAATACTCTATTGAATGGATATACCCCATTCATTTATCCCTTAATCAGTTGATGGAAATTTGAATTGTTTCTACTTTGAGGTTTTTATAAATAATGTTGCTGTGGATATTCATGTACAAGTACTTATATAGACATATGTTTTCATTTATCTTGGGTAGATCCTAGATAGGAATTGCTGGGTCATATAGTAAAGTAAGTGTTAAAGAGCAAAGATGTCACTTTGAAGACTAAAGTGCACCTGACCCAAGTCATGGTATTTTCAGTAGCCTCATATGCTTGTGGTAGCTGGGTAATGAATAAGGAAGCCTGAAAAATTGATGCATTTGAATTGTGGTGTTGGCAAAGAGTATCGAATATGCAACGGACTACCAGAAGAATGAACAAATCTGTCTTGGAGGAAGTACAGTCGAAATGCTCCCACAAAGCAAGAATGGCCAGATTTTGTCCCTTGTATTTTGGTCATGTTATTTGGAGGAACCATTCCCTGGAGAAGGCTTTCGTGATTGGTATAGTAGAGGTCGGAGAAGAAAAGGGAAGACCCTTAGCGAGATGGATTGACATGGTGGCAGCAACAATAAACTCAAGCATAGCAAGGATTGTGAGGATGACACAGAACTGGGCAGTGTTTCTTTCTGTTGTAATTATGAGTTGAAACTGGCTTAGTGGCACCTAACAACATAGTAACTTAAGTTTAATCATTTGAAGAACTGCCTTGCCTGTTTTCCAAAGCAGCTGCACCATTTTACATGCCCACAAGCTGTGTGTGAGGATTTCAGTTTCTCCATATCCCCACCAACATTTGTTATCTCTTTTTTTGGTGGTTCAAACCCACCAACCACTCCTCAGAAGGAAGGTTGGGCAATCTACTTCTGTAGTGATACCGCCTCGGAAACCCAAGGAGGGGGTCACTATGAATTGGGTCCAACTCAACGGCACACAACAACAATAACAGAGTGTGCAATGATACTTCATTTGATTTGCATTTTCTTGATGGCTGATGATATTGAGCATCTTCTCATGAGTTTATTGGTCATTTGTATACCTTCTCTGGAAAACTGTTCAGATCCTTTGCCCATTTTTTAATTGAATTCTGTCTCTGTTTGCCATCATTCCCCACTCCTTTCCATCTATTTTTCTTACTGTTTGTTCTGAATCTCCTTTACTGTTTCCTATTCTTCCTTCCTCTGAAATGTAGATATTCTCTAAGTCTCCATTCTTGGTTGCCTTCTCATCTTGTGTTGTTCTTGTTGATATATGCCATCGAGTTGGACCCGACTCATAGTCGGACCCCTCCTTGGGTTTCCGAGGCGTTATCACTACAGAATTAGATTCCCCAACCTTCGTTCCGAGGAGTGGCTGATGGGTTTGAACCGCCAGCCTTCTGGTTAGCTGTCAAGTGCCTTAGGCACTACGCTACCAGAGCTCCTATTGTCATCTCGTAGTTGCTCTTAAATAACCTCTTTCTCAGTGGTTTCTGCTCATATCTGTTTGGCGCATGACTCCCAGAACTTTCTGAGGCCTTAGCTTCATCCTGAACTGAAAACCCTACCAAAAAAAAAACAAAAAACCTCATGCCGTGGAGTCAATTTGACTCATAGTGACCCTTCCTTGGGTTTCTGAGGTGGTATCTCCACAGAAGTAAATTCCCCAGTCTTCCTTCCAAGGAGTGGCTGGTGGATTTGAACCACCAGCCTTCTGGTTAGCAGTCACATGCCTTACCAAATTCTCCATATTCAGAGCTACTCATTCTTCCTCCAAATCTGTAGCCTCCCTATTTGGTTAATGGAATTATAATACTTCCTAGTTATCAAAGCTAAAAATTCCATACATCTGTACTTTTTCCTTCCTTCCTTATCTTCTAAATCTAGTTACTTCTCAGACTGTGTTAACTCTACCTTTCTATTAATCATTCCTGTTATAGTTTAGGTTCTTGTCTATATTGCAGTTGTCTCTTAGTTTCTTTACCCTCCCATTTTTAGCTGTTGATATCAGCTACCCCTTTTTTTAGCTCAGGATCATTGGAATAACAGGTTTAGATATTAAGAGGTATAAGAAATCATATTTATTTATAACTTGGTCTCAAGTAGCTAAGGGAGTGCTTGGTAATGCAGGTTACTCAACCCTCAGACTACTTAGGATTTTATAAACCTCTAATTCTTCCCTTAGCCCACTCCTGAAATAAGCACCAATTACTTACAATAAAATATGCATAGCATCCAGTTGAAATGTTTGTCTCAGTATCAGACTTACCTAGGAATCTGAGTTTATATTGAAGGGGCTACCAATATTCTTTCATATATAGAATTCTGAGTGTTGTGGTTTGGTTTTAGATAATTTTTGCTATTTTGTTTCTCTTTAGTCTTTCTCATTAGTCCAATTGGTTTCTTTCTTTGGAGTAAGCAACTTTCCTTTGCTCACTGTATATGTCTGCAACACACTCTCATATCCCGTTTCTTCTACCTAGCACAGATTAATCTATAAACCATTATTACTTCACCATCCCTTTACCTTTTTTTTTTTCTCTTTTCTTTTTTTCTTTCTCAATCTCATTCTATTTTT